GTATTTGGGGAAAAAAAAAACTGTAAAAGGCCATCCTTTTTTAAGTTTTAACCATAAATTAGCCATACACACATCGATAACATAAAAGCAGGCAGTTTTGTTTCCATTCATAATTTTGGCATAACCGAAAAATCCAAGAACTCGATAAAGGAGAGAGAAGGGGGCGATGGTTCTTGTGGGTGGATGAAGATTTGGTGAAGAAGATAAAAATAGTTTCTTCATTAAAACTTCATTTTAATAAATCTCTTGCCACCCCACAAGAGTTCTTCCTTGTTATTTTACAAAATTTCTTTTCTTTTTGCATCACATTTGAATCAAGAAATTCAATAATTTGTGAGAAAGTTGGGGACTTTGTATCTGTACGCTGTTATTTTGCCTTTTTCCTTTAAATTTCATATGTTAATAGCCCACAGATTTCACATGTAAAACTAAATTTCTAGATCTTTGCAATCACTAGTTTACCATTCCCATTGATATTTCCGTTTACATCCGTTTATTATGCTAAAGCTTTATTTCTGTTAACTCCTTATCCTTGGTGGGGTGCCCCTCTCCGTTAAGAATTTTGGCGGGGCCCACAATAGGGTTAGGTGGGCTTCGTCTTTGCCGATAAAACCCATAAATTTTCTTGCGATTTGGTAAAATTCCTTGGAAAATTCTATGTGGGTACATAATGATGTGATGTGGACAAAATTATATCGTTAATGTGAAAATGTAAAATTTGAATTAAAGGTAGATCCATTGCCATGTATAATTATGGATACCATTATGTGTAACATTATGTAATTGTAGCATTCTCAAATTCCTTTTTCTCTTTTTTAAGGGAGGAGGTGAAGAATGAAAAAAAGACTCCAATTTTTTAGTGTTTTTACTGTATTTACTAGCCTCCTTGTTGCTTCTCCAATATTGGTGGACTAACTTATTGAATCGTCCCCTTTATTAATTATATTGTATGTATATAAGCCTAACTGCAGTCCAGCCTCGTTTGTCAAATGCTTTCTTCTTAATCACTCGCTCTTCTTCCCTCATCCTCATTTACAAGTCTCTTTACCTCATACCAATCCCATCCTGGGTTTCTGAAATGAGATTGCTCTCTCTCTGGTTTTGGAAAGATTTTTCACTTTTCCCCATAGCCAAAACAATAAGAAATACTCTGTTAGGTATTGTTTTCACATTTTTTTCTCCAAGAATGTCACCTAAGAAGAGCAAGAATTCTTATTGTAAGGTGGAGAATCTTGAGATTACACCAGATATGTCTGTGTTAGATTTGCCTGACCTTGTATTGGAATGCATTCTTGAGAGGCTTCCAACAGAGGGGCTTTGTAGAATGGCTAGTGTTTGTAGTTCTTTGAAAAAGAGGTGCATAAGTGATCATCTATGGGATAAACATATGAAATACAAATGGGGTAGGATTATTGGCCCTGCTGCTTATAGGGAATGGCAGTGGCAAATTGCTTCAAGAAAAGGTTCAATCTTCTCTAATCAAGGCAAACAGAGGGGCCTAATGGGCTATCTCACTCTCTTATGGCCTACTGCACTGATTAGATCTAGTTTAGGTAATATTCACAAGAAGGATTTTCCTCCAGTTGATTCCGTCATGTCTTGGTATCTTGCTCTTGAGTCTGGCAACTTTTGGTTCCCTGCTCAAGTCTATAACCGTGAGGTAATGATTTTTATATGGACTTCGAATTTCCCCCTTTTCGAATTCTTGAAATTAAATGGTTGATGAATTTTGGTTGAATTGAAGTTCTAATTCTGTTCCTTTTATGCAGAATGGTTATGTTGGATTTGTGTTATCGTGCTATGATGCTGAGCTTAGCTATGATCGGCGGACCGACACTTTCCACGCCAGGTAATTGGAAATATGTTATATTCTAACCTCTATTGAAACTTGAAATGCTTTCAGTGGACGTTAATTGTGATTTTTTTTTTTACTTTTTATACCATTTATAAATTCTATTTGCGGTTAAATTTTTAGTTCCATAAAGTAATTTCGTTTGAATCTTGACCAAACAGCGTTTCTTGATTACTTGTTTTCTCAGTGATTCATTTCTTAAATGTTATTATTTGACACAAAAAAAATGTTTTCTTTATAGTATTCTTAATGTTTTTAAGGTTTTATACAAGCAGATATCCACCGCATGGAAGGAGGGCAAGTTCAATAGAGACTGGTGTTACATGGGATAGACTCAGAGCTCCCCCTGTTGATACCTCACCCCATGATCTTCATATTTCTGATTGCTTGAACGAGTTGCGACCTGGCGATCATATCGAGATTCAGTGGAGAAGAAACAAAGAATTTCCATATGGTATTATTCTTCATACCATACACCTCAAAGGCATATTCCTTTCAGTTTTTTATTTTTTTTCACTCAATATGTGAACACCTTTTTGGGGCACATGTTGCAAAGCTAGGATATAATTCAAATTTTTTTTTTAGTGAGTTCTTGCTAAGAAACTTTTTGAAATGAAGACTCTGTCAAAAAGATTTTTTGTCATAGTGTCTTTGTTTTTTGATGATTGATGATCAAGAAACTTTTGTCACATGACAAAGTGTAAATCCATGAATAGACCTTAATTGACTTGATTCAAGGAACCATTGGTATCATAATTTTTTTTTATTAAACTTCGAAGTATTATTTATAGTGCTTTGAGATTACAGTCCTCATTTCAATTATAATGCTTTCTGAAAATGGAAGGTGGTCTGTCTTTCTTGTTAGGTAGAAAGTTCCGTCAGGCGTCAACAGATGTAAAGCAAAGCTGTATTTATATTAAACGTTACTCAGTTGGATTGACTGTTTTGAGATATATAAAAATCCTTATGTATTGTATCGATCAATTGATTAATAATGTCTGCCATTTTTGTGTAGGATGGTGGTATGGAGTTGTAGGCCATTTGGAAACATGTGATGGGAATGCGAATTACTGCCGCTGCCATGAAAGTGGTGAGTTATTGCAAAATTGTATGATGGAATGCTATAAAAAATTGCCACTTCATACTGTAAATACATCAAGTTGAAAGTCAGAGGCATAATCAAAGCTCGAGATACATATAAAACTGAGCAAAGGCGGGGGGGAGTGCGGTGGGGTGGGGGATGATGAGGGGGTTCTTATTATTTTGGGGGGACCTCATATTTGATTCTTTTCAGAAGGTGGTCATAAGTTTTATCATCATAATGCATACTTCTATTCTTGGTAGGACCTTTCTTTGCTCCCATTTTCTTATATGTGGGTCGTCACTTGTACTATAAAATTGGTCCCTGAGACAGGTCCTTGTCCGTTTGTCGTATTCTCTTCCAACATCACCATAAGTGCTGTCTCAGTGGAACATTTATGGCCAACCAAGCTGAAAGGAACCTGCTTTTTCTTCCCTTGTGTTTGGTTAAGCGTTTCTTTTGTACTAATAATGTTTCTCCAATACTTCTTCTTCTTTTTTTATTCAAGGGTAAAGTCACTAATTAACAAAGAAAAGTGGAGATTTTTATAAGATGAGATCACTTTAACATCCCATGTCTCAGTTTACTATTCCGAGTCTATTCTACTTTTTACATAAAGCCCTTGCTCTGGGCTATTTTCGTTGCTGTTTAGCTGCACACGATTAGAATTTCCGACACAAGACCTCGTATGTGTTTTCTAAGGTACTAAGTGTGTTGGAGCTAAATTGACCAAAGTTTAACTTCTTAATGGCTGGAAAATTTCTTGTTAAAAATTCTGGCCACGGATATTTCCTTTTTGCCAATTATCCAAAGGAAGCATGGCTCATGCTACTGTCTCAGTAGTCAATGTTCACAGAGGTTAGGTGGCAGGTGAGATCTGCTACCAACTGATCATAATAGTTTTTATTTCAACTCTGATCTAATTTCGTATTTACAATTGTTCATTGAGTTGTATAAGGCGCATTGATTTCATATCTGAACTTGTGCTGCAGACACTCTGGTGCTAGAGTTCAACCAGTACACTCGTGGTTCACGCTGGAGAACGACGTCAGTTAACAGGAAAGACCATCGAGAAGAAGGAAATGAGGCGGATGGATTTTATGGGGGAATTCGAAAACTTAGAAGCAATGAAGAGATTTCCATGTGGATAAAACTCTGGCCAGCTGAAGTCTTGGAATAGATCATACTTTTGGTGAAAATTTGTACCGATATCTGGAATTCTCGACATTTTAGGTTGTGCAGTATTTTTGTAAGTTGCAAGAGGGCTTTGCTCATTGGCGCAACTTTTTTCTTTTTGCCCTCGTACTCACGTTTTCGGGAAATTATTGCTCGTGATTCGTGAAGCCATTGATAGGTTAATAGCAACTGTATGTAACTTGTTTCTGTTGAATTTAAATAGAATAAAACACTACTATTATGACTTAAATCTGTTTAGTAATTTATTAAGCTTTATGCTGGCAGCACTGAATTGGGAATGCAGCCATTGTTCTATCTCTCTCTTTTATTTGGGGATGGAGCAGTTTTGTTGCAGTGATTTGAGAACTAGTCTGCATTAATTATTTTCTGGGCTTGCACTTCTAAAATATTGGTTGCAGTTGCATCAGCATGGTACCAACTGTCAACGGCTAGAGACAAAGGTTCTCTATAGTCTATCTTGCTATGTACACTCGTAGAGCCCTCGGCCATAAAGGATGGGTGGTGGTCAGAAGCACTCCGATATCTAAGTTAGGAGGTGCAGCTTATTTGAAATTTGGAGTAAACCATGGTGGAATATTTTGACCCATGCAGTAGCAATTGCAATTGGGTGCAAACGAGTGCTTGTCCTAGGGTCGATTTTCTTGGTGTCCTTATGGGATCGAGCCCAACTGTGGCTCCACATCCTAGCTAGCTCATTAGGTCCCAATTATGTTGCATTTTTGCCATGTGAGATGTGGGCATAACGCCAGCAAATGCAGTAGAATGGTAGATCTTAGAATTCAAACCAAAAAATGACTGTCTTACATCAGAATGTAGGATAATCGAAGTATTTTTTTGGGCACAAAAGTTAAAACCATGATCAATTTTTGATTAGAAGTACAAACATCGTTTCATGTTCCTAGAACTTACAATTCCATAACCCAAACAAAGTGCAAGTGTTGGCTTCATTGGCATCTCATATTCTGCTACTGCCATCTTTGCATCAGCAGACATTGTTTCCTTACCATTACCCTCGACTCTAAAGCTCGACTGCCTGAATTTCTTCGGCGTCCATGGTTCTGAAGTTTGCTTTGTTGGTTTGGAGTTACTCTTTTCTCTCCCAAATGATGCAAACCTCAGCAAAAGTCCTTTTACTTTTTGCACCTTATTTTCCACTACATTTTCTCCATGCACCCCTTTAGTTAAAATGGGCTCGTTGGATCCTTCGCGTTCCGTTTGAACAGGTCTTACTCTTCCTCCAAAAAACAAACCCCTCGGGCTCTTGGGCCCTTTTGGGCTTCGTCCCACATCTTTGGTCTGGTTTCGAACCCATCTAGCATAGGCCTAGCCCTTGGATTCCCTTGGCATACTATAACTTGGTGTCGAAACTTGCACTGGTGAGCTTATTGGACTAACTTCCTTATTTCGATCCCTTGGACTCGAGCATTTTGATTTAGAAGTCATGAATAGTAAATGATAACTTGATCGCCTATGATCATATCCTTTCTTTTCCTCCCTCACCTTCTTCAAAGCCACCGTGAATGGATCAAAATCATCATCCCAAGCACTTTTTCTTGTGTATGGGATTCTGAGAGTTGTTCTTAGCGACGTAGGTGTCGAAGCTAACGATCTGAGGCTAATACTCTGCGCATCGCTATCATATTGAAGCCGAGGTGGGAGTTTTAGTGGGCATAACAAGGCCATTCTGTTGGGAAATTTCACCAATTCCCTTTATTTCAATTAACCCGTAGAATCTTTTGTTGTTCAGAAAAATATTATCAAATAAGAAAATAAATAATATAACGCACAAATTAAACGGACCGTCAAAGCTTTTTCACTATATGAGAAATTGTTACAATCATATAGAATTTTTTGCCCACCAACCAGATCCAAAGTATTACACAAGAAAATATTATCTCTAACTTTGTGTGTTGATAAATATATATATTCACAAGACAGAGCTGCTGCTTATTACCACAAAGTAGACGTCTTTTTTCTTTTATCTCACAGGTCACGCAACCCTAAAATATGGAATACACCACTATTTATAGGATCCAAAATAACCTATTATTATTTGCAGTAGAAGTCCTTCAACTTTGACTTTTGAGGCAATTACCTAA